ACTCAAAGCCTTTTTTCCCCAACTTTTTTTCTGCTTGTTCTTTGGATTGGGATAATTTTTATTGATCTATCTTCAAGTTCACTGACTATTTCTTCTGTCATCTCCAATCTTTTATTAAGCCCATTCAGTGACTTTTTCATTTTAGTTATTGTATATTCCAGGTATAGAATTTCCATTTGGTTCACATTTCTGTGGGGAGGTACCACATCTGTAAATTCATTTTGCATGTATTTTCTTTTAAGTCCTCTAATATACTTAAAATATTTGCTTTAAAGTTCTTCTCTGCTGATTACAACACCTATGTTATCTGAGGGTTGATTTCTATTGACAACATTTTTAAAAATTAAAGAAAAGTCACATTTTCCTGCTTCTTTGATTGGTTATGAATGAGACATTTTGGAAACTTAATTCCGCTGTGTTTCTCTGAAGAATGATTTTTCTTCTTGCAGGCAGTTGTCTTGCCTAGACTCAGTTTTCAAACTATCTCTCATGTGGTATGCAACAACTAAAATTTCTGCTCATTACTTCCAGGTTTATTCACTGCTTTTTTTGCTGGACTCTCTGGGATCTCCTCCTTTGTATGGAAAGCTTAGCATTCAGCCCATGATTTGGACAGATTTTACATGTATATAGTTTGGGGCTCAACCCTCTCTGCAGCACATTACATTCCAGGACTTCCCTCCCTCGTTTTCTGACTGCTCTGTCTGCTTTGAACTTTGTACTATGTCACCTCAAGCCTGCAAGGCTGTTGTGTCTGCCCCCAAGTTGTGTGCATTTTAAGGACTGCCTTCTAGCAAAAAGAAGAAAACATAAATGGTACCCATTTTTGTTTGTCTTTTAAGGATAGCTTCCCTTCATTTTTTGCTTTGGTCAGTCTCCATTGCCTTCAAAAAGTTTTTTTTCTTTTTTGTCCAGATTTTATAGGCTTTTATTCTCTCTTGATTTTTTAAAAATAATATTTTGTTTTTTGTGAAAGTTTATACAGTAACTTAGGTTCACATTTAACAATTTCTGTACATACTGTTTAGTGACATTTGTTACATTTTCTACAATGTGTCAACATTCTCCTTATTTCCATTCTGGTTGTTCCATTTCCATTAATCTAGCTTTCCTGGCCTCCTGACCTTCTCTTCTTTTCTTTAGGGTAAATGTTGACCATTTGGTCACATACAGATTTTTTTTTTAGAGAGCTCAGTACTCAGTAGCGATATGTTTTATGTTATGATCCAATCTGTTACTTAGCTGAAAGGTGACCTCCAGGAGTGGTTTCAGCTCCAAGTTTAAATGGTATCTTAGGGCGACAGTCTTGGGGGTTCCTCTAGTCTCTACCAGTCCAATAAGTCTGGCCTTTTTTTAAGAATTTGAGTTCTGTTCTACATTTTTCTCCCATTCTATCTGGGACCATCTATTGTGTCCCTGGTCAGAACGGTCGGTAATAGTAGCCAGGCACCAGCTCATTCTTCTGGTCTCAGGATAGAAAGTGGTTCATGTAGGCTATTAGTCCTACTATACAACTATTTGTAGTTGTATCTTAGATGGTCGCTCGCAGGCTTTTAAGACCCCAGATGCTACTCACCAAACTAGGATGTAGAACATAAACTTAATAAACTATGTCTTGCCAATTGATTGAGTTGTCCCACGAGACTATAGTCCTAAGCCTTCAAACTCAGTAAACTAGCCCCTCGAGGTATTTGGTTATGTCTAGGAAGTCTCTGTAACTGTGCCTCCTATGTACTTTATTATATACACGACTATATATGCAGCACGCACAAAGATCTATATATATATGCCTACAGATACACCTATACATGTACACGCTTACACTCACATCTGCCTTCCTATACACATATGCATACATATCTACCTATGTAACCACACACATATCTTTTGGTTGTTATTGCTGTTATTACAAAATTGTATATGTTATAGCATTTACTAAAAACATCCCTTATTCTTGTGTACTTCTTAGTGTCATCATTTACCTTGGTCAAGTTGTGTAGACTTCACCCGCATTCGGTATTGCCTTTCCCATCACCAAAAATAACAAGTGTCTACTATCTAGAAAGTGAGTCCCCCACCCCCTTATCCTCGGTAACCACCAAAGAATGTTGCTTTCTGTATATCTTAGTTATCTAGTGTCGCTATAACAGAAATACCACAAGTGGATGGCTTTAATAAAGAGAAATTTATTCTCTCACAGTCTAGGAGGATAGAAGTCCAAATTCAGGGTGCCAGCTCCAGGGGAAGGCTTTCTCTCTCTGTCAGCTCTCGGGGAAGGCTCTTGTCATCAATCTTCCCCTGGTCTAGGAGCTTCTCAGCACAGGGACCCTGGATCCAAAGGACGCATGTGCTCCTGGCTCTTCTTGCTTGGTGGTAATGAGGTCCCTCTGTCTCTCTGCTCACTTTTCTCTTTTATATCTCAAAAGAGATTGACTCAAGACACAACCTAATCTTGTAGATTGACTCCTGCCTCATTAACATAACTGCCTCTAATCCTGACTCATTAACATCATAGAGGTAGGATTTACAACACGTAGGAAAATCACCACACTTTTGTCTTCATCTTACCTGAACTTTCTGGTATTTATCAAACTTCCCAAAACTCTCTGAGATTTATCTCACTTTCCTAAAACTCTTCCTGTTGTATTTATGATGTTATTCTAAATAGTCTTTCCCCTATTTCTCTGGTCTCCCTTATAAATCTTTTTACAGGCAGTTCGTTCTTTTCCTATCCTTTAAATGTTGATATTCACCTCCTCTCTTTTTATTCTATACACTTTAATTAATCTCATCCCCTCCCATGATTTCATCTACCATTTACATGCTTACAATTCTAGATCAATATCTAGATCAAGCCTCTCCCCTGAGCTCCAAACTCTAAATATCCAACTGTCTTTGGAATAGTTCTGCCTTGATGACCCATAGGCACCTCATTCTCAATATATCCCAAACGGAATTTATCACCCTTCCCCACCACCAAATTTGCTTTCCCATGTCTTGGATTAGATGCCCTAAAAGCTGAGTGTGAGGAGATCCTTGTTCTAATGATTTCTTGAGAGAATGCTCTCAAGAAAAACGAAGTGAAGGAAGCAGGGTAGGGCAGAGGGAAAAGCTAAGCAAGTATGTGATCTCAGCTAGAGACTAGCTTCAGCGTGATCTCATGGGGAAAGTGCCAGAGTGCAAGTTATACCACAGAGTCCCAAATTGAATCTAGGAAGTTGGACATTTCTACTGTTCCCAGTCAGTTGTTTGTTGGGGTCTGTGAGTGGGGCCTTTGGCTTGGGCTCTAGGGCAATTCTCCTGAGAATTGGGCAGCTGCGAGTAGTTAGTTATCAGCCAACATTCACAAAAGCTGGAGGATGCACGGTAAAGTATGAGAGGGGGCACCAACGCATCCTCTACTACACCATTCCTGACTTCCTATATTGATGTATAGCACCACCATCTACCCAGAAATCCAAGTAGAAATCTAGGAGCAATCATGGAGTCCTTCCTTTTGTTCATCCCTCACTTAATAGTAATATTAATACATAACACTTATTGAGTGCCTATAATACAAATTTCAAATTCCATAGTATGGTTAACAAAGACCCTCATGATATGGCTCTGTCCATCTCTCCAGCTCAGTGTCTCACATTCTCCCCCTTGAACTCTTTGTTCTGGCCCACCTTGAATCTGTTGCAGTCCCTCAACATAACATGCTCTCACTCTCAGTCCCTATTGCTATGTCACCTTCACCTGGTCAACTCCTAGTTGTCCTTCAAGACAGTCCAGACATCACCTCCTCTGGAAAGCTTTCTCTGATCCTCTAGGCTTAATTATATATTTGACTTCTGGGCTGCGTTAGCATTCCACGCTCCCTTCCATCAGGACACATTTCACAGTGAAATACAATTGTCAGTTTACTTGTCTGTCACCTCTCTTTGAATGAGAGCTCTTTCAGGACAGTGATTTCATCTTATTTGCCTCTACATCTCTGGCAACCAGTCCAGTGCCTTGAACATGGTGAGTGCACACTAAATGCTTGTTGCATTAGTGAGCAAACGAGTGGATACAAAGGGAAAGTGTAGCCAAAATTCTAGATATTTCTTCTGAAACTAATTTTGCAGGCTCTGGGCTGATGCTTATATAGGGTATTTATTTCAATAGATCCTGGGTAGACGAGTATTCACAGAAAGACAATCTAATCCACCTTTTACTGTACTAATGCTCTTTAGTCTTGCTGGGTCACTGAACTTCACTCCACAGAGCCCCCAAGAGAATCAGGAAGAATGCCCCAGCTCCAGCATTCATCTACAATATATCAAGAGAGTTTCCTCTCCGAAATCGCCGTTTTTGCCTTTGTATTACTTTTCCATTGCTGCTATAACAAACAACTCCCATTTATTACCTTTCATTTATTATAAACATCCATTTATTGTCTGTGGGGCAGAAATCCAGATGGACTCAGCTAGGTTTTCTGCTTTAAGTTTCATGAGGCTGAAATCAAGGTAGCAACCAGTCTAGGCTTTTATCTGTAGGCTCTGGGGGAGAATCCACTTCCCGGCTCATTCAGGTTTTTACGATTGGTCGTAGGAGTTGTAGGACTGAGGTCCCCATTTCCTTTCTGGTTATCAGTGGAGAGATGTTCCCAGCTTCTTGAGGCATGCACATTCCTTGGCTCATGGCCTTGTTCCTCCTTCTTCAAAACCAGCAGTCGAGTGTCAAGTCCTTCTCAAACTTAGAATCTTTCTGACTTCCTCTTCTGTCCTCCTCGTCTGCTTTTAAAGGCTCATGTGATTAGATTAGGCCCGCCTGGATAATCTCCTTTTTTCTATATAACATAACACAATCACAGGAGTAACACCAGGGGTAAAAGATCATGGGGGCCAACATTCTGCCTACCACAGCCACTAAACAAAGGAAGGGTAAAGAAAAGAACATGGGCCCTAAACGATGGTCCCCAGTGAGACCCCCTCTACAGGACAGCTATGACTCTTCTCTTTCCCTCTCATTTCCAGATGAAGGACCTGCATCATGAGAATATTAACCCTTTCTTGGGCTTCTTCTATGATTCGGGGATGTTTGCCATTGTGACAGAATTCTGTTCCCAAAGGAGCCTAGAAGACATATTGATGAATCAGGATGTGAAACTGGACTGGATGTTTAAATCATCACTCCTGCTGGATCTCATCAAGGTTAATGGGAAGACTGAGGAAATCTTGAATTTTCTCTATGGATCAGAACTTTAGTGTTTTGGGATATTTTATTTTTCTCAGATCAATGTGATCATCTCATTCAGGCACTTTCCCTTCAGCATCTGTTCCCCACTGCTCTTCTCACAGTCCCAGATATAAGGTATTGATACAGAAAGGGTTTGCTCCGTACCCCCATTTGAGGATGAGATTTGTCTTTACTTGCTGTTGTCATTGAACACTCTTCTATTTTAAGCAAACCTTCCTTTCATTCCATTTCTTTGCTTTCTGGATGTGGAAAAATGCTCATACCTAGATTCCTTGGCACTGCTTAGCCACACCTCCTGGTTTTTACCTCCCAAAATGTGGTTCAGTCTAGAACTAGGTGATGGGTCTTTGCATACATCAGATGTGGATGAGGAACTCAGCACTACCACAAATCTAAAAGGCCATTGATTCTATCAGTTAGCACCTCTACTCTCTGAGCCAAAGATTATTGACAGCCAAAGGGGTTCATGGATGGGTCTATGGATGGGCTTCAGGGGAGCCCATGAACCCTCTGGAATGATATGCAAATTGTATGTACGTGCATATTTATGGGGATGATCTGGATAATCAATGACTTGTTGGGCTTCAGCATGTTTGTCACAGTCTTTACCTTTGTATGGTGGCAAAACCATTTTCAGGGGGGATTTATAGATTTTATCTCATTATAATTCTCTGTAAGAGAGGTGTAATTAGCCTTTTTTTTTTTACAAAGCCTCAGAGAAGTGAAATGAAGTATACTTTGTTACATAATGTCTGGCACACGTAGTAGGTGCTCAATACATCTTTACCAGCCAACTATTAAGTGGCAGAGCTGATAATAGAATCCAAATCTCCTGATTCCCATTTTGATACTCTTTTAACTTACCATGTAAGCGAAGCCCTGGAAGTGAAGGGAGAAGCCTCTAAATGACAGGCCTCTCAAGTCTATGATGAAACCCAAGCATTAGACAATCTGGGGAAAATCTAACCCACTGTAGACTCTGCTTGAAAGTATTGGGAACTGCAGATTTTCTGAGGGCACAAGCTGTAAATCATACAAATCCAAAGGGGTGTCAGTTTGAAAAATAGAGCCAGATACTTAAAAGAGCTCTTGGAATAAACAGTTCTTCAATGACTGCACTAGACTATGGATATATTCATAGGCAGGATGATTAAACCCATCTGATAGAGAGACCTGGTAGATCACATTTGAATGTCATATGAAGGCTGCCAAGCAAGCAGCAGAGATCAGTAGTATTAGGCTTTTTTCTTCCTTTTTATCATTGATTTTTAAATTATAGAAATAATATATGCATTAAATTAAAAATCAAATGACATAAATATATATAGGATAAATAGTAACATTTACTCTACCCTCTTCCTTCATATCCTACCCAGAAGTTAACCACTGCTAACAACTTGGGGACTAGCCCCGCAATTCTTTTCATGTGCATTTACGTACATTATAGATGGCTTTGTTCTTAATATACATGCTGTCACATAGTTCTGCAAATTGCTGTCTTCACTTATTTTATGTCTTAGAGATGTTTCTCTATCAGTACATACAGATCTATCTTATTTTTTTTAACTGCTGCAGAATATTCCATAGTATGACTGTAATACAATTATATACTATTATAAAGCAGAGCTGCAATGAGCTTTCTTGTATATGTCTCTTCTTGCACACGTGCAAGTATTTCTCTAGAGAAGAAGTAAAATTCCTGGGTGGTAGGATATGCATCCTTTAAATTTTGGTAGCTATTGCCAAATTGGAGCCCTAGTGGCACAGTGGTTAAGAGCTTGGCTGCTAACCAAAGTGTCGGCAGTTCAAATCCCCCAGCTGCTCCTTGGAAACCCTATGGGGCAGTCCTACCCTGTCCTATAGGGCTATTATGAGTTGGAATTGACTCGATGGCAATGGGATTTTTTTTTTTTTTTTTGCCAAATTGCCTTCCCAAAAGGCTGTACCAGTTTCCATTCTTGCCAATAGTGGATGAAGAGCTGGGCTAGACCTTGGGGGACAATCAGAATCTCCAAATTCTTGGCAATTATATATATGAATCCATCCTGTGTCTGAAATGTCAATGTATTGCCCAGTAACACACAGTTGTCTATACACACAAGATACGATTCTTTATAAACGCATCAAATTTTAGAGCTAGAAGGGGCCTAGAAACTGATTCTTGTCAAAGGTTTGTTTTGCCTACATGCATGAGAAAAAGGCTGAATTCTGGATCAAAATTGCTCATGCCATTAATAATCTCAGAAAGGGGCTCTAAAAGCACAAAATAGTTAAATAAGTTGCTAAATAAATCCTGTTTATGTCATCTGCAGGGCATGAAGTACTTACACCATAGAGAGTTTGCTCATGGGAGGCTGAAGTCTCGGAACTGTGTGGTAGATGGGCGTTTTGTACTAAAAGTGACAGATTATGGCTTTAATGACATCTTGGAAATGCTGAGACTCTCCCAAGAGGAACCTTCTGCGGAAGGTAAGCAATGAATTTTACCCTCCTGCTGCACACAAGGTAACTCCAAAGTTCAAATGAAAATATGCACTGAATTAAGGCCTCAGGCTGATTTCAAGTCCCCACTTTTGTTGAAAATCCAGCCTCATTTTAAAGCCAAGGGAATTGAATGAAGTTTGCATGCTGTAACCTCATCCCAGCCTACCCTTCCAAACAAAACCAGTGCAATAATGCTCAGTTCCTGCTGTGGCAGGATTAGGCTGCATTGTTTGGAGACCCCAGCAGTCCCTGGAGGAACTTGCTGAGCAGTAGGCACACAGTAGGTGCTCAATAAATTCTTGTCAGATTGAATGGAAGGTAATTTGGTAGCTCAGCCCCCACCAAGTACAATCTAGAATGGGATGTCACTAAAGCTTACTGGCACTGTCTCTGTCAGAAAGAAGCAAGAAGGGGTTCCCCAGCAAGGAAATGTTCTGTGGTTTTTGTGGGCTGGTTTCAGACAGAACTATGGCCTTCTAGTAAATAAGCAGGCATGCCTATAATGTCCATTTTGTGTTTTTATCTTCTGTCTAGTGCACCAATGGCAGCACTAAACAATGCCTGTAGGGGTCATAACAAATAAAAGGAATAGGTGAAGCCTAAGCTGGAGGGTGGCTGAGAACCAGGAAGGAATGAACTGATGGGAGGCAGGGAGGAAGAGTGAGAAGGAGGGAGAGGGAGGAGAATAATAGAGTTAAATACTTACAGGAAACTTGGGCATGAAAGTTTTAACTAGTATTGCAAGGGTGAAGAAGCGCGATAGTGACATAAAACATAGAGAAACAGACAACCCCAAAAGAAAAACACAGGGAGAGATGCAAAATTCCAGCATATGTTCATATACTTAAAAGAATCTTTGGCATTGTAAGTTTCAAAACTGCTGACTTTACTATGAAGGAGAAAAGAAGAATGAAAGACACAGAGAGACACCTGCACAGGTAGAGACAGACAGTCCAGTTATAGGTGGCATCATTTTTGCTCTTTACAAGACTTGTGGAATATTAAACTTTAGGGAGTCATCTAGTCCAACTCCCTCATTTTATAGATGAAGGAACTGAGGTTTAAGATTTGCCCAAATCATGCAGCTGCTCAGCAGCAGTTCCAGGACTTCAATTAATGTCTTCTGAAGCCTACGACTTAGAGCCAGCCAAACTAGAACTTATAATAACAGTTTCCTCTTTCTCTGCCCATCCATGCTTTGGAGGACTTGAAGCTCCTGGAATTCACAGTGACGAACATGATATTGCCACTGTCTCTCTGTGGACTTGCTTTTGTTTCTGACTTAGTCATACGGTTATTATTTGGCTAATTCTAATTTGAAAGCTTGGAATAGTTGCCTCATGTCAACTCTAGAGCATTGGGATGACAACTGCAGAAATTGCAAGTACTTAGCTTCCTGTCAAAAATAGTCATCTATAAAAGATAACACACAATGTCCAGCTTCCTAGTGTTCCATTTAATTCACAGGTGGGCAACTTTCAAAGTTAAGAACCTCTGGTCTTAAGGGTGAATAGAGGATAGCTGGGAGTTGAATGAAGAGCTTCAACTGGTGGTTAAAGTGTTCGACTACTAACCAGAAGGCCAGTGGTTTGAAACCACCAGCAACTCCACAGGAGAAAGATGTGGCAGTCTGCTTCTGTAAAGATTTACAGCCTTAGAAACCCTATGGGGTTGCTATGAGTTGAAATTGACTTGACAGCAGTGGGTTTGGTTTTGGGGTTTGTTGTTAGCGGCTATCAAGTCACCTACTGACTCATGGCAACCCCATGCACAACAGGATCAGGCGGTTGTGATCCACAGGGTTTTCATCAGCTGGTTTTCAGAAGTACAGTAGATCATAAGACCTTTCTTCCTAGTCGGCATCACAGCAATGTACAAATGGGTGATGGCTGTGCATGAGGTGTATTGGCCAGGAATCGAACCTGGGTTTCCCACACGGAAGGCAAGAATTCTACCACTGAACCACAACTGCCTTCAAAGCCGGGGCAGATTAACCAGTAAGCAAGGTACACACAGGCCTACATTAAGCAAGGTATGCACAGGCTTACTTGTGTTTACTTATTAATCTGTAGTGAACAATTTCACATGGGTTTCACCACATTTGATCAAAGATTTGGTAAAACCTATATGAAATTGTTCACTACAGATTAGTAAGTAAACACAAGTAAGCCCTTGCTTATTGGGTAATCCATCCCTGCCTCAAAGGATAGCTGCAGTGTGTTTTCTGTGGAGTGTCTCTGTTTTTCCCCCTCATCATTTCATTTCACTCTCCAAATTGCAGTGCAGTCTGGATGCTCAATCCATTCTGCATGCACTAAACTGCAAATATGACTATGTTACAGCTGTGCCTAAATCCCTTGAATGGCTTCCCATTGCTCTTAGGATAGAGTTCAAATTTCTTTACATGGCTTATGAGGCTTGCAAGGGCTGGGCCTTACTGACCTCTCATCCCTAACCACTCATCCTCTGTCTCTATGCTGCAGCCAAGCTGAACTCCTTCCAACTGTTTATTTACACCAGGCTCTCTCTTACTTTCAGAGCTTCACACACGCTGTGCCTTCTGCCTGGAATACTTTTCCTTTCCCACTCTGTCATACACTCATCTGGGTCTCGCTAAATTCTAGTCGTTCTTCAGGGCTCAACTTAAATATAACTTCCTCAAGAAGTTTTTCATGGATACCGTTTGCTACGTTAAGTTCCTGTCTTTATGATCTTATAGAGCCCTGAACTACCGCTATAATACTTGGTTGGTGCTGTTAGCTGCTGAGATGACTGCAACTCATGGAGACCTTATGTATAACAGAATGAAACTTTGCACAGTCTTACATCATCCTCATAATCTCCAGCAGGTTTGAGTCCATCATTGTGGCTATTGTGCTAATCCATCTCCCTGAGGGTCTCCCATGCCCTCGTTGGCCCTCTACTTCACCAAATATGATGTCCTCCTCCAGCGATTGATCCTTTCTGATGATGGGTCCAAAGCAAGCCAGTTGGACAATGTTCTGTTGTGATCTGTAAGGTTTTCATTGATTAATTTTCTGAAGTAGATTACCAGGCCTTTCCTCCTAGTCTGTCTTAGTCTGTAAGCTCCACTGAAACTTGTCCACCATGGGTGACCCTGCTGGTATTTGAAATACTGGTGGCATAGCTTCCAGCACCACAGCAACATGCAAGCCACCACAGTTCGACAAGCTGACAGACAGGTAGTAGACTTTGTTGATATTATTTAATTATCTTTCTTCTGTCACCTCCCTTCACCCAAACTATAAGCTCTGTGAAAGCAGAAAACAGGTCTGCCTCCCTCAGCACCTTGCACAGTACCTGGTGAATAAATATTTGTTGAATCAATGAGTGAATGAAATGAAATGTAATAAAGAAACCTACCTCCCTACTTTAGATGGCAGGAATAATAGAATGTTCTAATTGGAAAATCCTTGGAGATCATCTAGTCCAACCTCCATTTTACACATGGAGAAGCTGAGGTCCAGAAAGGTGAGCTAATAAGTGACCACTCTGAGATTTTTGAACCCAGGTCTTTTGTCTCCCAGCTCTGGGTTCTTTTTTTTTTTTCTTTAACCACACCACAGTGGCTCTCCAAAGTCAATTTTATCACCATAGCAAGGTTCAGAGTGAGTTCAGGCCCCAGCAGATACAAAACAAGCCAAAGTAATTTTTCCCGTTTTCCTGAGAGTTCAAGTCTAATGGTAGCTAGTGGCTCTTACTTGGTTCTGGAGGGGAGGGAGATGGGGAAATGGGGTGGGTTGTAAGTGTATTCATTACTGTCCACTCTCAATTATGTAAGTATAGTGCAGGTAAAGCCTCATTTTAGCCATTAACAGCATACATGTAAGTGCTCTCTGAAAATACTGTTTGGTAATGATTGTATTTAATCACCTAGCCTTTTACCAGAGAGTTTTACCCTCTTTTCCCTTCTTGTGCTTTTTAATGCTCAGGGGGGACAGGATGCCAGGAAGAAACACCAATATACTATTTTCTTTGCTCCCAAATATCCACCACTGTTATCCCCTCAAAATGATGGTGCCTAAAATCCCCCCATCAGAAATGTATTCTTTGACTAAAGTATCATTCAGTCTTTTCAGTTTTATTGGCAGATGTCAGTCTTCCTAGGCAGGGAGGCATGAGGACAGAACGACTATATTGAGGGTATCATGGGGTAGGGGAGGGAGGGGTGGTCAGAGGGGTCTGGTGGGGAACAAGGGCTGGAGGACATCAGGAGGACAAAGAGAGAAGGATGGGTACACGATCAGGGGCGAGGCTAGAATTCCCTGTCCCACCATTTTGATCAGGATTACCTCAAAACAAGAATTTCTGTGATGAGTTTCTCTTTCCTGGGTTTCATTAATAAACCAAAATAATCTCTGACCCTTCACCCTCTTTCCTGCTTCATAAGAACTTATTCCCTGGGCTCCCTTCCCCATCCCTCAAATTTAACAAGATGAAAAGTTCGCCATCACGTTCCCCCTGACTCACCCACCCTTAGCAGATGCTCTTCTCCAACCTCTCTATCTGGATGTCAGCCTGCTGTTTACTCCAATTCTCCCTCCTTCATCACATTGAGCCTATCCCCAGCCCTGTCACTTTCTTCTGTGTTGTAGCGTTCGGATGTACCCATGCACTCATGCACTCGGTCCCCATCTTGCTGCTGTCCATCCCCCACTCAGCCCCCTTTCACCTCGCTGGCTTTTACTGCAAGAGCTTCCTAGCTGGTCTCCCTGACCCCAGCCTCCTTCCTGCAATCCAGCTCGTGCAGGTTGCCAGATTAATCTTCTTGAGCACTGCTTTCATCAAACCTCTCTCCAGCTCCAGCACCCCTACTGCCTTTTGTATTCAATCCAAATGCCTTCATTTGGCTCTCAGGGCCTCTCACCTTCTGCCCTCATTCTTCCAGCCACCCTCCCTCCCCCCACTTCATCAACCCCATTTCTCCTTTCTCATTATTCCTTAACAGAGTCCCTCTCTTCAGCCAAGCTAATCTGCTTACCACCCGCGCCCCCCCCCCCACCCGCAATTTGCTCGTTTCTGCCTCTTGTTCTTTTTCACGGACTGTTCTTTCTCCCTGCAAAGCCCTTTCACCCTAAACTCCAAGAAGCTGCATCCTTGACTTTCTTTACAAGCTCCATTAAGATTGAACTTTTCCAGGAAACCGTCCTGGATTAACTGGATCAGCTTAATTTTGGTTTGAACCCAATGAAGTTGCCAGTATTCACCCATTGTAGACCTACAGAAATGGCAATTTCATATGGTTCGGGCTTAAACATTCCCTCAACTTTTGACTATTCTGTGTATATTGTTGGTGTGTATTTCTTTATCAATTGTTTAAGATGCCCTCTTGAAACATTTCTGCCTCTCTGACTGCCATAAACTCTCTGAAAACAGAGTCAATGGGGCCTGAAATGCAGTAGAGAGAGCATGTGGTGGGTGCTCAGTTTTGGTTTGTAATGGGTTCATTTCCCTGTACTATGTAGTGGGCCTCATCACTAGCTCTCTTGGATTGTAGTTGGGGGTATACGTGTCTGTCTCGCCACTGGTTTGTGAACTCTTCAAGGACAAAAGCGAGATCTGGTTCATCTCTGCCACTGCCCCTGCACCCAGCACAGTGCCTGGCACACAGTAGACCCTCAATAAATATTTACAGAATGGAGTCGAAGGAGTTGCTGTACCTTTTTGCCCTGCAAGGAACAGAGGTGGCCTAGGGATCCTCTAATCCTCTTAGAAAAGACCTGGAGAAAGAAACTTGTGAATCTCCAAGCCCCAGCACAATCAAATTACCAGACACATATAGATCTCAGCAAACAGCAGATCCATGGCAACCAGTCTGGCAGCGCACTTGCCTTTCCCTGGCAGCCTGCCAACTGTTACTTGCAGGCTCAAGAGAGCCAGAAAGCAAGCAACAGATAGTTTCTCTACTTTGAGCTCTGCTGCCCTGCCCCACACCTCTGCTGGGTCTGCCTGCATAGTCCTGGTGTGGGGCAAGTAGTATGCTTTCTCTGTGCATTGATTCCTTAAATTCATTGATTCAAACCCCCAGGGAGGGGGCCACTAGCATGCCAGTCTGTCTAATAAAATATAAAGCAGTCAATGAAACAGCACCCTCGGAGCCCTTGAGGACATTGCAGATGTTGTCAGTTAATCATCTCTGTAGTCACGACACAATGCTTTCTTTTCAGAGTTGCTATGGACGGCCCCTGAACTGTTGAGAGCCCCAAGGGGAAGCAGGTTGAGTTCTTTTGCAGGAGACGTGTATAGCTTCGCCATCATCATGCAAGAAGTGATGATCCGGGGCACCCCATTCTGCATGATGGATTTGCCTGGTGAAGGTAAGCAGGAGGTAAGCACCGGGGCCCACCATGACCCAGATCATCAGGCCAACCCAGGCAACTGTGATTTTCCAGAAGATGAACATGGTTATGTGTTTGTGCTAACAGCTTGCTAGTCTTCAAGCAGCCCATGTTGTGGGCAGGTGGGACTTTGGAGCCAGACAGCTTTAGGCGTCTGGGAGAAATTCCCCCACCCAAGAAGCTGGTTTTTTTCCAAATTGTGACACAAGCCAAGGGCCTATAGGACCTAGGCCAATCCCTTTCTTTTTCTTTTTTTTTTAGCAGCCCCCTCTCCACCTTTGAGACAATCCTTGCCAAACATTTTAGTACCCCTCATGAAGCTCCTGGATATCAGGTCCTCCCTACCCTTTTCCTGTGACAACCCACAGGCTTCTGTCCTCACATCCCATCCAAATGCTTGGCTGTCAGGCAAGATCCATCAATGATGACAAAAAGAGTAGGCGAAAGTTTGAGGGGAAACAGTGCATTTGCAAATTCTCAAAGTTTGTCCCCACAAGTCTCTTACTGGTTACAAAGGGAACAATAGTAAGTTTACAAGAGGAAGATCCTGGTAGATACCACCTTAACCAAGTGATCAAGGTTAACATCACCAGTAACAAGACATATCCACATTATGTACCCCCTATATGATGAAGCCCTGGTGGCACAGTGGTTAAGAGCTCAGCTGCTAACCAAAAGGTTGGCAGTTCAAATCCACCAGCCACTCCTTAGAAACCCTATGGGGCAGTTCTACTCTGTCCTATACGGTCGCTATGAGTCAGAATCGACTCAACGGCAACTTTTTTTTAACATATATGATGCACTGAGAACGGTACACGATCACCTCCATGGTATTCTTGCAAAAATGTATAACCTCAATCAAATCATGAGAAAACACTGGACGAACTTCAATTGGTAGACAGTCTACAAAATAACTGGCTCATCAAATATATCTCATATATCAAATATATCAAAATCATAAAAGACGAGGAAAGAATGAGGAACCATCATAGATTGGAAAAGACAGAGACACAACAATTAAAAGCAATATGGGATCCTGAATTGGTTTGTGGAACAGAAAAAGGACATTAGGGGGAAAAATTGATGAAATTTTCCAGTGTTAATTTCCTGGCTATGATAACTGTACTATGTACAATTAAATGTATAAATGTACATTGCTAACAGAGGAAGCTGAGTGAAGGGTATATAGAAAATCGTTGTACTGTTTTTGCAACTTTTCTGAAGTCTAAATTTATTTCAAAATAAAAAGTTTTAAAATTACAAAAGTAACCCAAAAACCCACTTAGCTATCTTTTGCCCCACTCAGGGTCCCATTTTACTCCTCTACTCAAAGCTCTCCAACTGTTCCCCATCACATGTTAAATGAAGCCCAAGCTTCCCAAATGACATACAAAGGCACAATCCAGCCCCTAGCCACCTCTCTAGGTTTAAATTCTCTCACTCCCCACACTCTATCTAAACCCCATGACTGGCAGTGCTCTGAAAGCACCATGCTGTCTCAAACTTCTGTGCCTGCACACATGCTGGTCACAATGCCTGGAATACCGCCACCTCCTCCGCACCTTGCTGCACCTAACTCCTGTCACCTCCTCTGACCCTTCAGTGTGGGCCAGGTGTCCATCCTCTGTGCTTACCTGTGTATATATCTCTGCTAGAGCACTTATCACATTATCTGTCATTATCTACCTCCTCAAATGGACTATGAGATCCTCAAGAGCATGAACCATGGTGAGCCTAAGAAAAGAGGTGACCCATTCAACTTGATGATGTTCTGAGAAAGGGACAAGGACTCCCTCTGCCAGAGAGTGGATGGGGCAGTTGCGTACCAAGGTGTTCACTCCCATGGAACCAATTGCAGCTGAGGGCTGGGTGCTGTGATGGAGAAACCATTATTGGCACAGGCAGACTTAGGTTAAAGGAGCAGGAGGTGTGATGTCATAAAGAGATATGACATCAGAGTCAGCAGCTGAAATTCTTTCCTGGAGGCAAGGAGACACTGACTATGTCATAAAGCAGCATTGTTGGGGTGTTACAGCCAATGCAGGGGTGGGGATGGCATCCTGGTGTGGCAAGCAAGGTTAGAGTTGGAGGCAGTAGGGAGAGGACTAGTGATGAGAGATGAGCCTGAAGACATAGTCAGCGGCCCTGCTAAAGAGTTTGGATTTTACCCTGTGGGCAATGCAGAGTCATAGAAAGGTTTGAGCAAGAAAATGACATGGCCAGATTAGTGTTTTAAGAATGGTTTGGAGAAGGCTAAGCTGGAAGCACGGAGATCACTTTGAGGCCAAATGTGAGGTACTGGGTACAATGAAGGCTAGCTATTTTCTCCTGTTGCTGGGAAGTTTTCTCTCTTTGTAAAAAGGTCAGCCTGCCTGATCTTGACCTCTGGTCACTAATGGCTGTTGGGTCTAAATAGGGAGTTTAGGACCTCCCAGTTGAGGTCCGAGACATTTGGAAATGTAGTAGATTGAGACTGCCTGGGTTCAGATTCTAACTCTGTCACTTACTAGCCCTGTGACTTCAAGCAAGTTACTTAATTTCTTGATGCCTCAGTTTTTCTACCTGTAAAATGAACATAACAGTATCTACCTCCTCTGTTTGTAGTGAGAAAGAAATGAAATAATGCATAGAAAGTGCTCAGCCCATAGTCTGTTATATAATAAATGCGCCACTGAAAGTGAAGTTCAAGGACCAGCAGCCAGGAGGATCCTGATAAAACCCTGACTGCTTACCTGAGCTCTTACCTTCCCTTTGCCTAGGGGCCAGGCAGGGCCCAAAGCCTAGACTTGGGCTGTGTCTGGGCCTGCATGGAGGGCTAAGTGGGTCTACTATAAGAATTGGAAGGCTTAGATGATTTGGGGTTGGTGAAGGGAGCCAGGTCTTTAAAGGTTTAGCATTAGAATTGACATCAGATAGGCTATATATAAAACCTAGCAGAATAAGGCTATGCCTAAATGATACCAATAGTCTAATTGATTACTTTCTCACTCCCACCCCAAGCTGACTAATACAGACTTTGCTCAGATATACTTTATATTCAGGCCACAAAATGAGAAAGCATGAGTCCCTGGGTGGTGCAAATGGTTCACACACTCGGCTACTAACTGAAATGTTGGAGGTTCAAGTCAACCCAGAGGCACCTTGGATCTACTTCCAAAAAAAATCATCCATTGAAAACCCTATGAAGTACAGTTCTACTCTGACACACATGGGGTCACCATGAGTCTGAATCAACCTAATGGCAAGTGGTTTACTTGTTAATGAGAAAGCAAGGATATGGCCTTTCTGTGTTTCTCCTGATCAACCCTTTTTTTTGCTAAAACTCAATTATCTTTGCCAATCTTGGTGCTTTCTCTATGATATGCAAACCTTTCTCTTCTTGCATCTGGACAGAAATCATAAACAGACTTAAGAAGCCTCCTTCTGTGTGTAGACCAGTGGTTCCTCCTGAATTCGCCCCTCCAGAATGTCTCCAGCTGATGAAGCAGTGCTGGGCTGAGGCTGCAGAACAACGACCAACTTTTGATGAAATATTTAACTAGGTAAGGATGCCGTAAATCTTATCACAGCCCAGAAGCTATTCTAAAGTTAACCTACCCAAGGCTGACCCCTTGGGTTCTCATCATATTATGGAAGCAATCTGTTGCAAGGTAAAAACACACACTTAGGAATCAAATTGAAGGCAACTGGTAACTGGTTACACAAGACTGATTTTATTTTGGAGTCTCTGGGTGGTGCAAGCAGGAGAAAGATGTGGCAGTCTGATTCTGTAAATATGTCAGCCTTGGAAACTCTACGGGGCAGTTCTCCTCTGTCCTATAGGGTCGATATACGGTTGCTATGAGTTGGAATTGACTCATTGGCAGTGGGTTTGGGGTTTTGTTTGTTTGTTTGTTTGTTTGGGTGGTGCAAATGATTAAGTGTTCAGCTACTAAATGAAAGACTGGCAGTTCAAATCCACCCAGAGGCACCTCAGAAGAAAAGCCTGGTGATTTACTTCCAAAAAATTAGCCATTGAAAAACCAATGGAGCACAATTCTACTCTGACACGCATGGGGTCACCATGAGATGGGATCAACTTGATGGCAACTGGTTTTTCTTGAAGAAGCATGGGGACTACTATGAGGCCCTTGGGTTCTCTTATATGCTGGAGCATCACCTGTACATCCTCCCAGAGCCCAAGGGTTGGTTCTGGTGCTCTTTTGCATCTGAACCTCTGTTCCAGACTATCCACAATATGGCCTAAGCAATCTTTTGAAAACTGAATTGAACTGCTGGGCATTTGCAAGGCAATGGCATTGAGACTGTTAGAAGATGGATATCATGGCATGGACATGGACCCTCACTGAGCTGTGGTGATCCCACTTTGGTGATCCCACAAAACTCTGACAAGGATAGCATTTAAGTGATGCCAGATTGCTTTTGGAGGGTCAGGAAAAATATAGAGTATTTGAAAGCGTGACTATGATGGAAGAAAGTGTAAATATGACCTTGTCAGTGTTCTATAGCTTAGGTTACTAGGTAACTACTTGAGACAAGGAGGTGCATGAAAAGTGATAAGCCCTCTCCTTAAGATACTGAATTTCTAAAGAGGTGGATTATTTCCTGACAGGTGAAGATTGGAAGGTGGAATGGAGGAAAGACATAGTGAGCCCTACCAAGGAAGCTAGAGTGTGGTTCCTACATTGGAGCATGCAGTTTGGGCCTTTGGTAAAACCACAGGGTACTGAAACTGAGGGTACTGTCTGTGAGTGCTATGTCAGCTCAGGTGAAGAGGCTTTTGAACCTGGCTGGAGTACAGCACTGAGATGCTTTATGAGTGGCAGGTACCTGAGGCGGAAAAGAGAAAGAATTGGACTGAAAGCCTGAGGGGCCCTACACATTAAGTCATCTGTGTCCCCAGCTAACAATTTCTCCATTAGCCTGGCTGGGATTCTTGAGGACACTCAGACAGGTGTTCAATAGTATGGAAAAGGCAAAGGACCATGAAGGTCAAATGTCTAAAAACTTACCATGAGGCAGGAGAAAAAAGCATTTGCCCTTGTGTTGATGCTAGAGATGTTATTTCAGAAGGCAGCAGAGAAGCCGGTGATAGATAGAAGGAGTGCACATCATGTGACCTTCAAACAAGACATTGCTGGGGTTGCCCTCACTAAAATGCTTCAGTGAAAGTTTAGACTGTCTGAACAACAAGCGCAGCCTCCCAACTTCCTGCAGTTAATAAAACTTGAATGGGAAGAGGAGGAGAGGGAGGCCCCCTGGGTTAGGCAATAGGGGGAGCCCAAAACATCTGAGCTGCCTATAAGATTGTCCCCAGGTGAACTTGTAGATATGGACCAGACTCAGAAGGGAAACTCTTACTGTTGGCCTTGAGGCATTGGGTGCTGGGTGGAGCATGTGTGTTATAGTTGTAGAAGAGGGTTCACTGGGGATAGAGCCCTAAGGATCTGCCCAGCAAATTCACCAATCTGTTATTGTTGTAAACACAAACACATGCATGCTAAATACAGCAGCAAGGAGGTGCAATGATTCCAATACTCATGATTCCAATGCTATGCCAAGCTACCTTGTCTCCACCAAGAGACAGGGTCCCAGGAGGACTTATTGAAAAGTTGTGGCATGGCAGTCACCTCTATGGGATCAGTGCAGTGAAGGGGCAAGGCCAATTGAAATTCCCAATGACCATTACTGACCTGAAGGAGAGGTGTTTGGGGACATGATTATGTGTTTTCTGGACCCCATGGTAAGAAATAGGCGTAAATCTTATCAAGTATATTTTGAGCCCTATTTAAGGGATCAAGAAACTTCCCACAAAACCACAATAAGATACCACTTCATACCTACTAGAATGGCTAGTATCAGAAAAATGGAAAATAACACGTGTTAGTGATGATGTGGAGAAACTGGAACCCTTGTACATTGCTGATGGAAATGTAAAATGGTGCAGTCACTGTGGAAAACAGTTTGTGGAAAACTTTTAAAACAAGTGAAACAGAGAGGCGGGGTCAAGACGGTGGAGTAGTCAGATACTTCCTGTGGTCCCTCTTACAACAAAGACCCAAAAAAACAAGTGAACTGATTATATATGACAATCTAGGAACCCAATATCAAAGGCAAAGTTGAGTAATCGGACTGAGTGGCAGGGGGAGGGAGAGACAGTTTGGAAGCAGTGAGGAGCTACCCAAACTGACCAGGTCGGAGCCGGCACCCTTCAGGCCGAATCGGCTCACGTTTGTGGTGAGGCAAGCAGTGACACTTGGGAGGCGTTTTCCACATTGGTAGAGACCCAGTGGCAGAGAGTCTACTTGGGCATCCAGAACCAGTGAAAAGCAGCGTTCAATCAGCAAAGATAAGTACTAGCGTCTGGCCAACCACACAGATCAAAAAACAGCCCCTTCGGGAAAAACCTCTCTCCCATTTACTTCTCCCCTCCCCACTCTGCACTGGGTCTCAGGCTGGCTTCACTGATTGCTGAGTCCCCTGGGCCGGAAGTAGGACCCGTCGTGTACCCTGAGCCACTCTCCCGGCCTTGGAGAGGGAACAAATTAACAAACAGGAAAAAATAATCTGCTGGCTCCCCTAAGCCAGGAACTCAGGATAGGCATAGTTCCTTTGCCTAGGCACAGGCGTAAGGGGTCCATGGACTTTGAATGCCTTTCACCTCTGCATAGACATGTGTGGGCCCATTTCAACAGCGTAGGCCCTCATTACCACAGTATGATAGGGTATATACCTGAAGTCAGGTATCTGGTGAAGTGGCAGGTTCATGACATTTGACACTGCTGTGCCCATTAAGCAGGGTCCTCACCTACCCACATCAGGGGCCTGAGGACTGGTAGCTCCACCCATGCCACCTAGTCACCCACGACAGCAGTCCAAGAATAAGTGGTTCCCCCTAGTCCTTACAGCCAACAGCACTGGGTGCTCATAGTCTGACTGCAAAACTCACCCACCTACATGCTTTAGGGAACAGGGACACGCTTTCCTGCCAGAAACTCATGGGCAGCCATTAGCCCCCTGCCTTGCTCATCACGTGACCTCCTACTGCAGCCAGATACCTGTGCCTACACCAATCACCCCTGCCTATCTAGGAATGTAGGTGAGAGCCTGCACCACACACTCAGTGACTGACAACCTGGACACCTGAGCTGAAACCACACAAGAAAAGTAAGCGGACTCCTGGGCTCACATACCTAGTGACAGCTCTAACCACCTGGTGACAGGACGTTAGAGCTTCAAAGGTGCCAATAATCAAACTAGCTCACAAGAGCAGCCTATTTAGGCATATCAAAACAAAACAAGAAGCTAGGACACAGTAAGCAAACATAAAATAAATAAATATAATAACTTATTGAAGGCTTGGAGACAACAGTCAATATTAAATCACATAAAGAGGCAGACCATGATGGCTTCAGCAAGCTCCCAAAATAAAGAATCAAGAAATTTTCCGGAGGAAGAGAATTTCTTGGAATTACTGGAGGTAGGATACAAAAGATTAATATAGAGAACTCTTTGAGAGATAAGGAAGACGATCATGCAAAAGGCAGGACAAGCCAAGGAACACACAAACAAAGCATTAGAGGATCTTAAGAAGGTTATTCAAGAGCATAATGACAATTTTAATAGGTTGCAAGACTCCATAGAGAAACAGCAAACAGAAATCCAGAAGATTAACAATAAAATTTCAGAATTAGACAACTCAATAGAAAGTCACAGGAGCAGAATTGAGGCAATAGATGTCAGATACAGTGAGATGGAAGATAAAGCACTGGACACAAACTTATTTGAGGAAAAATCAGATAAAAGAGTTTAAAAAAATGAAGAAACGCTGAGAATTATGTGGAACTATATCAGGAGGAATAACCTACGAGTGATTGGAGTACCAGAACGGGGGTGATTACAGAAAATACAGAGAGAAGTGTTGAAGATTTGTTGGCAGACAACTTCACTGATATTGTGAAAGACAAGAAGATATCTACCCAAGAATCTCATCAGACCCCACTCAGGGTAGATCCTAAAAGAAAGTCACCAAGACATATTATAATCAAACTTGCCAAAACCAAAGATAAAGAGAGAATTTTAAGAGTGGCTAGTGATAAACAAAATATCTTCTACAAAGGAGAGTAAATAAAACTAAGCTTGGACTACTCAGCAGAAACCACACAGGCAAGAAGGCAATGGGATGATGTATATAAAGCCTTGAAGAAAAAAAACCTGCCAGCCAAGAATTATATATCCAGTAAAACTGTCTCTCAGATATGATGGTGAAATTAGGGCATTTCCAGATAAACAGAGGTTTAGGGAATTTGTAAAAACCAAAGCAAAATTACAAGAAATACTAAAGGGAATCCTCTGGTTAGAAAATCAATAACATCAGATAACAACCCAAGACTAGAACACAGGACAGAGCAACCAGATATCCACCCAGATAGGGAAGTCATAAAAATAAATCAAAGCTAAAACACTGAAAATATGGATACAGAGATGTCAATATGTAAAAGATGACAACACTAAAACAAAAAAGAGGGATAAAAAATGTAGA